GACGCCAACCGCATCCATGGCCTCCGATACGACAAGGTGTGATACCACTGACAACCATTGGCCCTTCTTGTCGTACCCACACCATAAGATGGTGGTTCTGGTTGTTGTTGCCAGCCGGGCACTGCACCACCATGCACACGCGACAACCAAGGGACCGTTAGTCGTTACTTGATGGATTTATATCACTAGAGGATAATCATCCCATCCGATCGTAGGGTTGCAATTGTTATCGGCTTCACGCCAATCGTATCGAGTTACGCTAACTCTTTGTCCGTTTTCGAAAGCCAGTAAGATAGAATATGTAGAAATCTGACTCTTTGTCCATTGTTGGAGGCTAAATAAGATAATAAATCTGACCCTTTGTCCATCGTTGGGAGTTGTGTAAATATAATAAGATCAGCTAGTTGTCCATTGATAGAAGCCATGCAGCAAAATAGGCTCTTTATCCATTGTTGGGAGCCAAAATATGTAGCAATAAACATCATTCCAAAGGATATAACCATCAAAAACGCTCAACCATGTTGCGTAGATAATGTAGCCATGTCTGGCCATATGTAAGGGAATGTTGCTAAAGTAGAACATGTTTGTATCATTCCCAACGAAGTGGATGACTGTCACTCTTGGCGATATATAAGAGAATAATGTTGAGTGCTGCTTCTAGTGATGTCGACTCCATTGCAGCAATTAATAGAAAATAGAAACCGCATATCCAATGTAAGAAGTGAGCATTGTGGACCTTTGTTGATGTTGATCCACACACGTTATTGGTGATATAACCATATAAACTCATCTCTCAACATTTTTTTACGTTGAAAATAAGAGATTCTAAATTCGAATTGTATAGTATGCGAATAGAGTGAGGAAAAAGATAGAAAATAATTACTTTTTATTATGCAATTAAAATAAATAATAATAATAATAATAATAATAATAATAATAATAATAATAATAATAATAACAAATTGAACCGACAGGAAAAGGACTCCTGTTGTCAGTCGGACATACTCACATACCCTACATATTTCTCTGGTGATGCTTCCAAAAACAGAGTCAGGGTCCAATTATGGGTCCTAATTAAATTTAGACTAGGACACACTCTAGTGCACGGTCTCCACTCTCCAGTCCTAGACCCCTACTAATTAATTCAGCCAGTGGCTCCTGCCTATGTTCCTGCCGCAACCCCACCCCCATGCGTTTGCTAAAGCTTAATTTTATTAAGATGAGTTTTTTTTCTTTAAACATAAATCATTTGTTACAATTAAGGGGATTTGGGGAAGTGAGGAACAGGTTGGTGGTGTTTGAATATGGTTCTACTGAGTAAAATTTCACATAGTGGCTATGTCACTGATTTACTGTGCTTATAACGAAAATTTCATTAAGATAAGATAATTTTTTATTAACAAAGTGTTTAAAAAATATTGTATAAAAAATTTGATAATATTAAACAAAAAATTAGAAAGTATTATGAATTTTGTAAGGAAAATTTTTTTTGGATTGTAAACTTTTCTATATTTATTTAGCAAAAATTGATATAAAAAAAGCTAGTGGAAAGATATTAATTGCATTTCAAATTAAGGGGGTATTTGGTATAATAGTTTAAAATTAATAATTAATAATTCTATCCAATTTAATGAATGAAAGTTTTTAAATTAATAATA